TGGCTGGTGACCCCCTCCCGATTCAAAAAGACAGCCGCGTCCTCAGGTGCCAGCCCCTTTCCGCATGTGCGAACCTCCGTACCTCTGCACTTTCCTTCCGCAGCTCCTCTGGCTCTCAGTGTGCTTTTCTTTCCTTCTAGTTGTAGAATTTACACTCAGCCAGCCTTCCTGTAGTTCTGGATGATGTCCGTTTTGTGTTTTGATGTATTTTTCAATACATCAAAACATTTTCAATACATTTTCAATACATTTTTGTTGAGGGAGGCAGCAATTTCCCGGTGTTTATCTATGCCGCCATCTTAGTTTCTTTGGGCCATGAAGTTTTAATCGCACTTATATGCACGCCTGCACGTGGTATTTTGTGGAAGAGCCACAGTCAAGGGGCCAAAGAGCTGCATGTGGCTTGTGAGCCACGGTTTGCCGACCACTGCCCTAGATAAATTCATTCTACAAAAAATAAAACTTTGAGATGGGAAGATCATTACTAGGGAAAAGAGATTTTTTTCATTGTAACTTTAGTAATATATCTAAAGCTATTGGGGTAAAGATATGGTTTACCAACCGCCTTTGAGAGAGAGAAAAACAAGAAGAATGGGAATTAGACAGCCTAGGTAGAAAACTTGGAGTTAGAATAAGTTCCAAATACTATTTATGCCATTTGCAGTCAGTACCTTTCTACCATCACCAGTAATACTTACAGATGTAGCTATTAACATAGTTGATCATGTTTCATTTTAAATTTTCTTGAAATGTCCTATGCAGGAGTGTGACGGAAGATAGGGTAAATCCATGGTGGTAATGATGTCAAGCATGAAATAAAGAGCTATGTTTTCTAGTATATGCTTTTAAGATATGCCCAGCATTATGAACTTTTGAGAAGTATTACACTTCTGTATGATAATGGTTTTTAAAAACTTATACACATGACTTTGGTTAATAACTTTAAAATGAATATTGGAACTGTTTTGACTATAAAGATATCTAACTTGACTATGATACAACTTTATTATTTAAAAAATCATTAAGAAATTAATTCCACTTAACTATGTTTGTTGTCATATGGAATTATAGTGCTGTTTCTTTCTTTCAAATAATTTTTCTTTTAAATATTAGCATGGACTTCAAAGAACTAGAAAATGAACAGTTGGAGGATAAAAACATCCAATCATCTATAACTCAGGTGAAAACTTAAAACTATACTGTAATACATGATATAAAAATCAACTTGATCATAAAATATATTTCTAAAGCTTATTTATTAGGTTTTTCTTATATGTTTGGTTAAAAATGAGAAGTGGTCATTTTAAAATAGCTGGTTTTAATGGGTCCTAAGAAATGAGCAAAAGAAATAAAAAGATGGAAAGGGGTGACTACAGATTATTTTGGAGTTAAAGAGAGCATAAATGAGACTTCTATAGTTTTTAAGGGCCAAAGGTTCTTCTTTTAAATATTTAAAATATTCACCACTAATTGCGATTATTTTTATCTGTAAAGACTTCATCTTAGTTTATGTCAATTTGTTATAAATTCTGAGATGATAAAATTTAAAGAAATATGGTTTTACTGTATATGACTTTTTACTTATCCTAATCATAGTTCATCTTTATGTCTTTACCTTGGCCCTTTTGTATAGTGAGAGACTTTTAAAAAAAGATCTCTACATGGGAACTCAAACAGATTAATCGTGATTAGATTTAAAGAACTTTGATCTTAAAGAGCTACATAATTTGTTTACATCAGCTGCTATGGTGCCCTTGTTCCCCTAGCCATTAAATGTTTCCTCTTCCTTTCCTTATTCTGTCCATGCTCTCTAGCCTTCATTACCATTTCTTGTGATAATGTGATGTTCTCTCTTCCATGCACTCAAAGACCCAAAGTATTATCAGCACACACACACACATACACACACACACACACACACATATATATACATATCATGAGGACAGTAAGGCAAATTTGAAGATCTCTGTTCTAGGGTTAACTTGACTCTTTTTTTATTTTTAAAATTTTGTTTTTTACATTGGGAAAAGCTTTTCAGTATTCTCATGAACTGTTTTCTCCCTAAACCAGCAGTTTCATAATTAGACTAACTACTATTAAAAGTCTGGAAGATGGAAATATACCCCTGAACTATCTGAATATGTTATCTACACTAATAAAAGAGAAACATGGTAATTGGCATACGACCACTACCCTTTTCATTGGCTAATCACGGCGATATGCAAATTAACTGCCAACTAAGATGGCAGTTAACTGCCAACAAAGATGGCGGTTAATCTGCATATGTAGGCACAATGCAGGGAGGCAAAAGGGAAAGCAGGAAGAAGCCCCCTGCCACTGACAGTGATCGGAAACCCA